TATTATTTTTAATGACCAGTAGAGCTTGATATTATGTTTCTAAATGGTTAGAGGGTTACGGTATTATTTTTATTGGCCACTAGAGCCGATATTATTTTTAATGGCCACTAGAGCCGATATTATTTTTAATGGCCACTAGAGCCGATATTATTTTTAAAAAAAGTTATAATCCCCAAAGAAACAACAATATAACTACATGAGAACCAACCAACGAAGAATTATGAAAGGTAAAGTTATTTAAAATCTATAGTTTATTAAGTACGTTCAAAAGATGATGTCAAGCAATTGACTAGTTGGAATAATAAAGTGTTTAAATTGAAAATTAAAAAGTGTTTTATAATTGATTTTAATTTGTCAATGAGCAGTTACATCTGTTAGTGAAAAGTTATACACCGTATCATGTGAGAAAAAAATACAACTGTAAATATAGGCCTTTACAGATTGTAGATAAATGAACTTAGACAGCCGTATAAGTGTGAATTATTATAAATGTAGATAGCGCTACAGGTTATAATAACAAAGCGAGCACTCTCATTATAGAATAGCTTTGTAATGATACAATTGTTTTAATCACTGTCCGGTTAGAGCAATTGTGATTGTTACGAAGCGCTATTTAAGTCTACTAATGGGGGACTTTAATTGTAGTTACATAAGGGAACGCATAAAGGTCGCAATTATTATACAGGTTGGTTGTAGGAGAATACACTGATTGGTTATTGAAAACATATACTGGTTGTAATCCTTAAGCTATACAGATGTAAAAAATAGTAAGGAGCGATAATAGCGACGGAGAGTTTAAAAATACGCATAGGAAATAAAAGCTAAGTAAAAAAAAGAGTAGTTATAAACAAGATAAGATATATCAAAATTTTAAGATAGTATTATCGAAGTACTGATAAATTATGGTAAGTCATATCGTATTCATATATCCATACAATGGTAGAAGAGAACTCAACCTAAACATGAAAAGGACTTTTTTTTTCAGATTCAACGACATAGGTACATATCTTTCCTAAAAAGATTTTGTATTAAATATGATGAGATCCAAACATTGTATTTAAAATAGAGGTAAAGTATTTGAAAAGAGGCTATTAATATATATGGTATTATAGTCACTTTATGCAGGTGAATGTATCCTAAAAGTTGATATAATTATATGGACCCAACAAAACCTTTTCGATATGTTCGAGTAATCTACTAAGCTCATACATGCAATGAAAAATTGTAGTGATCTCAATAAATAATTAGATGAAAACATGGAGATCTCATATCTTGTACGTTTCTAACTGTTTCTTTCTGATAACAGACTCTACATTGCTTGTAAAGGTTATCTCATAGAATATTTATATATTCAAATGAGAACAAACCTGTTTAGCATATAAGACGTAGCAGGGGCCAACATGAAACAAACAGTGGCAGCGTGCAGGATATAAGGGGACAAATATGTGTTGTTAGTTTTCTATATAAATAACGAGAGAGCGACCCTTGCAAATAGAGATAAAGTTAATTATAAAACAGTAAAAATCGGTAAAGTGTACGTCCAGAATAATGAAAATAACTGGCGTATATCTAGGTGTTCTTATTTTCACGTTAATTCTAGAGTTCCAAAGTTTAAAAATCGTAATTCTTTTTTTTTTTAAAAAAAAAAGCTATATGTATATATATGCATGACGTGTCTATAGATTAGTCTATGAAATAATGTAAATAAGTGTTTTTGTACATATGCATATACGGTGTACGTACATCCAAAAAAGTGACTATTTTTTTTTTTTACGTGCAGACACTGTTATTACAACGTGATCGGGCACTGTTTTTTTCATATACATATATTGGAACTCTAGAACGGTTATCTCAAACCAAACACGTCTCTAAACTGACGAGGTTACACAGGAGTGTACGTCAGGGCAACGTTAGAGACATCTTTCTTCGAGTCACAATTACTGTTTAAGAAGCAAGGGAAATCGATAGTAGTATATGACGTAGCGGTAACGTAAGACATTTTAATAATGAGCATATGGTAACTACTTCGAGATACTAGAAGATGACGCACACTATTTAGGGATGACGAAGACACTACTGTGGGATACGAGCACATTACTGTGGGATACGAGCACAATAGTGTGGAATACCAACACAATAGTGAGGGATACGACACGCTACTGTGGGACACGAACTGTATAGTGTGGGATACGAGCACATTACTGTGGGATACGAGCAC